TGCCATGCGCTCTCGGTTATTAAAATTTTATGGAGATTTTCTGATTCCACAGTTAATGTCATTTAAAAACCCAGAGAGTCTTAAAGACAGAAAGAAGACAAAACTCGCTAAAAATGATAGTTCCTTAAAGTTCGTGGGCGATGGTAAATCTAAATGTTATATGATCTCTTTACTTTATTTCTGCTTTTAAGAAACTGTATGTTGACAAACCATGTATCTATCCGCAGATAAAGATAAATCACCACACATCAATATAACCATTGACTCCGACGAAGAGGTCACACCACCCGTAGCAATTGAAGTTCATTTGTCAGACTCAGATGCGGCGTCCTTATCCGACATTGATTTAACTGATGATGAGCAAAGTGTTAGTCATAGACGGAAAGCGGCCAAACGGTTGTCGAAAAGATTGTCTGTTTCATATACTGGGGAATTCAACATTGATGCGTATTATATCGATTCCATGTTCACACCACTTTTATTCTCAATAATTCAATTCATCACAATTGAAGATTCATCCTTGGGAACACTGCTCCAAATGCATAAAACGTTGGGGCTTATGATACAACAAAAACCCGATCTCTATCTTGACATAATTGAAATCATAGCTCACGGGGATCCTACAAGTCGAAAGCTGGCAACTTGTATACTATTCTCTTTCTGGGGAAATAGCATCGGACTCCCAGTGATTGGAGAGGATTTGCTCGGTGTAAGATATTTAGATTGTTTAAGAGCGTACGAGAATCTTAAGGGTCAAGATGGAGCCAAAAGTCAGCAGTCCCAAAATGCGCACGATCACCAATTATTTCCGCATATATTCTCCGATGATTATTCACAAAATAGTGACAAGTTTTCGCTGGATTTTTTGGATAATAAAAAAGTTCAACCATCCCCCACTGACGTCCCAAATGCGTGTTTTCAGTGTTTCAAACCAGTTGTTGGGTTTTGTTTGCGATGTAATATCTGCAAATTAAGTTTACATTTTGGATGTTATAATTCGGATGAAAGTGGATTTCTAACAGAATATTCATCGGAGTCTGGGGTTCATAAATTGTCGACTCCGAGATATTGTAATATTATATGCGGAGCCAGAGAACCTGATTTCATCAATAATCATATAGCCGATTACCGCGCCGCTATTATCTCAGAGCACGTATCCGGTCATACGTTTCATCTTATAAATCTTTTTACATTGACTTTATGCATGGTTTGTCGATTACCATTATGGGGAGTTATGTATCAAGGTTACAGGTGTGAAACTTGTAACCGTTTTATACATCCATATTGTTTGAAATCCAAGACTTTGGAAACAGATACACATTGTCATCAATCTGTTCTAAGCGAAAGTGATGCACTGATTGATCACGAAAGTTTGCGTGAGAGTTTCAAGGATTACTATGGGCAGATCGTACTCTCCGGAGAAGTAATCTCGACATACAATTACGAGGAATTATCGGTTATGGCCACAATATTTCAGATGCAAAACAATATTCTGAACAACGGGCTTCTGGCCGGTTGTTTAATTATAAAACCGAAACTCACCAATCCTCTATCGATGACTAATGAAAAATTCGAAAAATTCGAACTCCAGGAGGCAATCACTATTTATGAGTCATACCTCGAGAGTGGAAAAGTTTATTTGACGCCAACATCTAATGAGTATTGGGAAGGGACTAATAGAAAATATGACTTGTGGTTAATTTCAAGTGAAGATTACTTAGCTCACTTGGCCGCGGTGATTAAATCTGGAAATGAATCGGAATTTGCAGAAACCGATCGTACCGACTTTCATTTAAGTGTGAATATGTTAGGTGCCAATCTGGCATCGACAGCAGATAATAATGTATTTCCGGATGGGATTTTAACTACCAAAGAAATAATCAGGTGGATGAAAAAAAAAATGGGATTTCACAACGATTTCTCGGTGAAGGTATTTTTACAACAAATGGCCAACTATGGTTTCTTGGAAAGAGTCGATGGACATCCGATATTGTTTAATGGAGTTAATAGCGAGGAAAGTGATGGTCACGAATGCTTCTTTCCATTGCCATTCGCGACAGAGTGTTCTCCCACAGTAGAGACCTTGCTTGCAACGATTTCCGTGTGCTTATCGGACATTAATATATCGATTAACGAATGTGGTTTCCTTCTGATGACACGACGTTGCTGGCCAGATCCTTACTTATCAAAATATGTATTAGAACGATTGATTTATTCGGTTATCGAGTGGATTTGCGACGATGACGAAAAATTGCTAACAGTCGCCAAGGAATATACCGCCTTACATCTCAAGCCTCCAGGTGTTCATCATGAGATGGAAGAAAAACGAAGTGATCTAGGCCATTCCAGTCAGAGAAGTTCACATGTTCCTAACACCGCTGGCGGAGGTGCATATATTGTAAGCCGTCAGATGTTAAATGAAAAGTATCTCTTTGGCTGGATGTCAAAAATTCATCATATGGACAGAGAATTATTTTGTGACATAGTATACGAACAAATTGAGAGAGTTTATGAAAACAAAAGGAAACATGAAAAATCGGATGGAGACTCGGTAGGTCAAAAGAAGTGAGCGTTTTTAGTATTTGATAAAACGGTATCGGTCGTCATACTTCATACTTTGATTATTTTATCATTAGGAGGACGTATTTCGTGATTATGATAATATATTGAAACTTATCGTAAAATTGTGTAACTCCGGCTTGTTGTTTACATCCTGCAATGATATAATATCGCGTTGGCTAGATAACGCGTGTTTTGTATTGAGACATCAACCAAAGGTATTGATTTTTTTATATACGGCTTTGTTTCAGAATATGTGTATTGACGTTTGATAATTTTTCCGGTGAAATTATGTTCTATTATCATAAGGTCTTTGTAGAATTAAGAACCTTGTACAAAATGTTTAGTCCCTTAGGGAGTTCTATACGGAGAACTTCTTCATTGGAACAATCAACTGCATTTCCGGAGAACAATAAAATTGAAGTTATCGATCCGATTGAGATAATTACTCAAACTTTCGAGGAAAATGATAATGCTCAACTGATGCGAGCTTTGCAATGGATAGATTTAATAGTACGCTCGAGGTAGGCATTGCGAATGACGTAAACAGCTAGAACAAACATTGTGCTAACAAAGTCTTCTGTAACATTTTCTAGCGTTGGATTTAGGGGCTCTGTTTTCGCAGATTTTCTTTCATCCCTAAAAAAGCACACACCATCCCTCGAACAATACGCAACATTTCTGCAAATTATGTGGCATCAAGTCATAATTGGGTTGGGTCATCTGATCACGCGAGGCGTCATACTGGAGTTAGTGTCCGATATAAACGAGACCGCTTTTGATGCGATCAAGAAGATTAACGAGGAAGGTTATGGCGCGGAAATCTCCAGGTACGCGGTCTGACAATGTCACTACTTTTTTGCATCTAACACGAATTTATTTTGATTAATTAGTATTAACCATTTTATAAAAAAACAGTGCACGTTCATTTGTCAAACTTTCTCTGGTTTTGACTTTATATTCGTACAGTTGCCCACTTGAAAATATATATAAAATGGAGATGGTAGAGTTACCCTCGGATCGACCCTCCATACAAAAGTAATGTGCCAAGCTATTAACAAATGTATGGTATCATTGTAGGAATTCAATTGATTTTTATTTATTTATTCTATTTTGAAAAAATTTAGCGTCCCTAAAAGAATATCCAATATTCCAGATCCTACTCAAGGTGCTAATGTTACAGTGGAAGCATCTTTGATGCAATATTTGCTAGAATATGCAAGATGCGAGAAGCTAGAAGTTCGTAGTGATGTTGTTAAAACGTCATGGCTACTTTTTACCGAAGCCGGTCTTATATTTAACAAGAATGAATTTATCATTAACAGTGTTCCAAAATTGTTACCAAGGTTAGGATAGCCCAAATTAGTCTAATGATACCTGGAACACCTCTGAGATACTCAATCAATCAATTATTATTAGTGTTTGGGAAGAACTTTCACCTATATATGACTTTTCATCCAATATAACAATGCCTCTATTGATAAGAATGATCTGGGCGGATTCTCGTTTCTTTCTTGCTTCGGTCAGCAAAGTGTTTGAACATCAAAGCTGGGAAGTAAGGTGAGAGCATAGAGTGATTTAACATCTTATCCTTAAAATGCATCTAACAAAGTTCTTATTTAACACACGTAGATTTGATGGACTCGACAAGTTATTTAGTTTGTTCTCCAAACTTGATGAAAGGTTTAATATTCAGAGAGCTGGAGTATTTTCTTATTTGGGACCAGTGTTTAGTTATTTTGTCTGCTGTCTCTGGGATCACGAGGTAGGGAATGTGATTTTACGCAAAAGATCTACCTTTTTTGTGCATTCATCAAGCGCAAACAATTCTTAGGAATATGTTCGAACGAAAGCTATATCATATATTAGGGCAATGCGCTCACAGCAACTTCGCTTAGCGTTTAAATGTTGGGAAGGATATTTTATGGTGGCCAATAATCGAGAGAAAACGTTATTATGCCGATTCATGTTAAAGCTTAATGCAAAATTTCCGAAATGGCAGGGTAATTGGATTCATCCATCTATTTCCGTACGGCTTTGTTTCTAAGGTATCTGCTAAATTAAATCGCGTATTACTTTTAGTTATCGAATGGGGTATTTTATTGGATGCTTTAAATCAAGAAGACAATGGAGCGGAAACAGTGACCACGACAGAAATCTTGGTATGGTTTTGGCACTAGAGTTTTTTGTTTCACGAATCTATGGTTAATTGATTTGACAATCTCACAGGAAAGTTATGTTAGACCTGACAGCATTCTGGTTATTGGTCTCAAAAACCTTCAAGATGAAAGTTTTAATTTGACGCCTGGTCAGAGAGCCGCAGAAGAACAGAATTTAAAGGTAAAAATAAATTATATATGATGAAACCATAAGTTTTCGCTTATCAAGGAATATTATTTCCCATGTCGCTAGGTTATAATGTTGACCCTTGCGCTTCAAATGTTGGCCAATGGCATAGATATCAAGCAAGATCATTTGTTCATAATGAAATATTTGGTTGTGAAAAATTTGGGGTTTGCAGATTGCAAGCTCGAGTTAATTAACGGATCGAACAACTTATCATACGGAGAATTAAAATACAGTCCCGAAGATTTTACTCAAAATATGATGATGGTTTCTTGCCTTGGGAACCTTAAGAGAGTACTCGACACCCCGATCTACCTTAGATCCACGGATGTAGTTTCCGAAGATGCCGTGGTGCTATCTGAAGGGGAGGACGAATTATTAGGAGGATTTTTCGTTGATGTTGTATTTGCATTATTTAATTCCTCGGTGGATATGTCAAAATTAAGTCATATCACGTTAAAAATGTGGATTGAATTATTACTTATCATTGTTTACAAGGTAAATATACAGAACTCGTGCCAATGTAAATTGGTGATTGATTACTTTCTATACATTACATTCTACTTTTTTAGCACAAAATTGAAGACCGAAATAATAAGGGGTTGGAGGAAGGCCTGATTAATGCGATGAGGCAAATTTCCGATTTACTGTTAAAAGACATAACCGAAGAGAATAAACAACTTTCCATCGAATTGGCGACATCACTATTAAAAAGAGCACCGATGTTAACCGTTAATATTCTTGGTAAACAAATCATTACGCTAGGAAAACTTTTGACGAAACTTCCAAATGATACGAATAATTCGTTGGTGATGAGTGGAAAAACCTTTTTAAGAGCGGCCTTTCTAAAGTTTGCGCGAAATGGTTTATTTGTCTTGATCTTTAAGGTATTTAATACGACGTGTTTGATCGAACCATGTTTGGTTTTTCTTGCTTTTTATTCGTCTATACACAAATTCTACATATCATTATAGAATCAGATAGTTGCTGACGAAAATCAAGCAGAACTCGACATGTTTCGAGTTCTTCGGGATGTGATACATGACCAACAGATTCCGGTTGAGGACGAATCTTTGGAACCTTCTTACCTTCGTGATGAACCGATTCGAGATGTGTTTAATCAACTATTTAAATTTACAAATAGGAAGATTGTTTCGACAATTTTGTTTAATCTAAGCAAATACGTGGAACTTGTTTATTCCAAGCCCTATAGTGAACAGTTGATGGGTGGTGAGTTGATAAAAATTTCCATTATTCTATGTCATATCATTATTGCGGATCGAAAGCTCTCGCGCGTACAATTTGATCACATGTTTACCTCACCATTTAGAATTGAGTCAATTCCTAATAAAGCTCACAAAACACACTAGCGAATGGAAAGAAGTCGACTGGGATGTAAACCCTGTGTTAAATATGATTTCCGTGATTATGAATGATAATCCAACTAATGCAGCGGTATTTGTAATTCCATCCTTGTTTATTTTTGCAACTTCTGGTTATTGAATATATCTATATTTTTATGGCAGGTATTAGTGCAACCCATGAGGATCTTTCTAAAACACGCAATTAACAAATGTTCATTGACCATGGGATCATTGGTAAAATTATTATCGGCTTATGCCGCGGTCAACGAAACTTTTACTTTTTGCGAGACGATACTGGAAGAGATAAAAACTGCCTTCAGGGGATCCCGGCTTAGACCTAATAGGGATACACTGATAATTTTATTAAAAGTTATTATCATTATCATTATTTATTACTTAAGTAATCTTTCTGTTTATTAATTTCTATTTATTATATACTATTAGCTGTTATGGTGGGATGTGCAACCTTTAGCCAGGAGGCACTATCACATCATCGAACAAAGAATCTTTGATTCCGCGACTTCCATTTCAAGTGACTTGAATCTATTGTTTTCAATTGACCGGACTCATCAACCATATTTTTCAAATGTAATTGAATATTTATTTGATGACTGTATGAACTTTTTGGAAAGTCCACCTGTTTCCAAAACATACTCAAGGAAGGAATTTAAAGTGGGAGTCTGTTCGTGCCAAGTGGCTGTCGCCATGTGCAATCAAGATTACGATTTACTTAAGAAAATATTCTTATGGCAAAAGGTTTCGTTTTTTTTTTTTTTTTTTCAAAATCGTTGTCATTGCGAGGGTGCTTGCTGACTTAAAGACCCCTTAATTTTTTATTTTATTATTTAGCCGATAGATACTCGTCGCACCATTCGACTTTTCAATTGGATTCTGTTAGGAATTTTAACCACCAATTCTTCAACTAATCTGATGACGACGGTTTTCAATTTTCAAGATAACGTGTCGGATCTCCTATTGCTTGCATTAAAGCAGCCATTTAATGATGTAGTTGGGGAGTCGGATTATCTACATACTCCATCCGGTGAATTGATTTACCAATCGTTTATTCTAATCAAGATTTGGACGACTTTATGTTCATTTATTTCCAAACAACAAACGAAAACATCGTCTCAATCACCTTCGGGACGTGATCAGGATAAAGGCAAAATGGTTGGCGCACCAAGAGTGCACCAAAAACTTTCCGCTACTTTGTCAACAGCTGAAAGAAGATTTTGGAATTCTATATGGCCAAGCATCAAAAAACCATTGGTTGGAATCATTTTTGAAAAAGAACTACAAGTAGGTCATAAAGGACTTTGTTTTCCTTAACAGTGTTCATTAAAGCTACTGATTAATGATCCTAAAATACAAATAGGCAAATGGTGCTGTCTACTGGGAAATGTTTATAGATCTGATTACATACTTGAATTTGTGTGGATCTGATATTGTGATGCTATACTCTCAAGAATGGACCACGCTGCTGGATTCTATATCTAAGGTAATTTATTAAAATTCCAAGTCACAAATTTCACCAATTAATATTGAATTATTTTAAAAGGAGGACTTCACGATATCTGCGTCATCGGAATTTTTGCAACGGATCAATCAAGCACGCACCATGTTTAATGATCCACCATTGATGATGCAAGATGATATGTTGATTACGCAACTATATTTGGAAATGAGAGAAGATATGACATTATATTGTGAAATCAATAGTGGCGGCACTGGCAAAATATTTGGTTCCTATATTTAATTCAAATAGCAAACCATGTTATTTAGATGACTTGTCTCTTAATTTATTTTTTCTATAAAGTTTTAATCTACTGTAATATAATTGTTGCATTCCTATATTATAATCATTCGCATATGAAAAGTCCACGGTGCAGTAAAGGGGAGGGGTAAATCTACTTTTTCTTTATATATACACGACGGCTTCCAAAAAGAATGCAACGCTAGAATTATGAGTTTTTTAAAATTAAATCCGAGAAATCTAATAAAGATGCATTGTGTGATGCAATCACGCCTAAATTCTAATGGTTTTTTCTAAACAAAAAAAAAAAATTTTTTTTTTTCAGATTAGTGTTTACATATTATATAAGTGGACTAATACACGTAATATATTTTATTTATTGTATTACTATAACAATTTATATGAAAAAGATAAATAATGTTAATTTAAAACTTGGAATTCTAAAAATTGAAAATTGAAAGCAAGCATTCGTATACAAGCAAAATAAAAAATAAAAAACATAATATTTATATATATATTATTCTTATTATTAATGATATTGGTATTAAATAAATCCAAAGAGCGTCTTATTCTAAAATAATCATCCTAACGAAATTATATAATTAGAACAAAAGATGTTTATCCCTTGAGCATTGAAGCTAAAAATATTGACTTCATTATTTGCGGTAGATCTTTATTATCCATACAGATATGTGCGTGACTGCCCAGACTTGCTTTTAATCTTTGTAGACATTTTTTTTTTGAAAAAAAAATTTATTAAAATTGTGTAAAAATTCAAATTATGATTTAACAAGGAACCTACTTTTCTGCTTGATCTTGTAAGGACCCAATAAATATCATGAACGAATTTACTTTATCGTTTGATTTTAGCGCTAAGTTGATCAAAGAAAGTATTTAGCGTTAAGCAACGATAATACTAATCAGGCTTATGATAATACCTTTTACTATGTCCTCGGGGTCGATATTATATTGTGAAATATTTGCATCAGATAGCACGACGACAAAGTAGTCATCAGCTTCTTCCTTTACGATATCACTGATTGCTTGAGCTGCAGCATTCAATGTGTTATCTGCCAAAGTAAAAAATTGTCAAAATTATTTGCTTATTTAGATCATCAGAAATGAAAATGAAAATGAAAAGCGCGACTTACCACCACTAAGACAAAACTGTGAATGTACATACATTTGTCTCAATACTTTAAACGACTCTTTTTCGGTACGTGGATATTTCCCCTCTTTAACAAATTCTATATTAGGTGAGTCACCACTGTGGCCTGAAATTCGATATTGAAACTTATATTCGAATGATTTAAATGATTCCATTATCACTGTTGCAAAAATAAGGAAACATTATCACCCTTAACCAACGATATGAACATTTTTTGAACATGATGAAACATGAAGAACTCACTAAGCGCAACTTCCATTGATCGATCTAATCGACGATCATGCGAATTAAACCGATACATACTGAAAAAAAATTTATTAAGTCATCCGATGAAAAGAACAAAACCGAAAATACTTTCTCTTTATTTACCTGGCACTCAAATCGAATACAAAATACATCTTTTTTGGTTTTTCATGAAAGAACCCAACCTCTGGATCATTTTCTCCACGCCGTTTATATATATTTCTGTCTCCCGTAATTCCTTCGATCCTAGATGTGAAGCAAAATAAAATGAGATTGAATACTAATTCATATTTAATAATTAAAAATGACTCACAATTTTGTGTCATCAACGTCTCCTGAACTCTGATTTTTGAGCCACACTCTCTCTTTATTCTTGGCCTCAGTACTTTCCAAGATTATTCGCAATTGACGAATTTCACGTTGTACATTGACCAAATACGATTGATACATTTCAGAATCTTCTTGAGTCATATTAATTTGTTGAAATTTCTTTTTCATTGTCATTTCGTGAAACTCCCTTCAAAATTTATTAATTATTAGAAGAAAAATGAAGTGTAAACTGCAGAACAAAAAATCTCAACATACTTTTGGGCCTCTGTCAACTGTAAAGGTGTTTTTGCTTCAGACCTCTTTAAAAAATTAGCGATCAATAACTTGAGGAGGCAATTTCATATTCATGTGCATCCAATTTTTACTTACGACTTGTAAATTAGCAACATCAATAAAAGTTGGCTGCCGTCCCTCCACGTTCAACGGATCACCCCCACCTCCGCCAGCACCTTCACCGCCAGTACCTTCACCACTAACGCCCTCACCACCAACACCCTTAACACCACCACCGCCGCTTCCTGATATACCAACAGCAGACCCTCCTCCTGAAGTTTTGACACCGTCTTCTGCTGTCTCTGTGATTATTTTCCCCTATTATTTAAAGGTTCATAAAAATAACTATATATATTCAATCAAAACAAACAATTAAGAATGAACAGATATGAACCTCAGAATCTTCGTATATGATTGATAAAGCGTGTTTATCAATACTCCCGACCAAATTTTTCCATGTATTCGCAGCCTTTATTAGTTGTCCAGCATCAACTTGCCATACGCGTAGAATGCCTTGGTAATAATAATAATAATAATCTTAATGGTTAATCGCTCAAAACTTCAATATAGGTAACTTTCATGTACCACTGTTGTCCATAGTGATAAGGTTTCCATTAGACAATTCCAACAATGTGGCCGCACTTCTTTCAGGCTGCGGATACTGATGACTTGCATTTGTGCTTTTAATAATAATAATAATAATAAAATAAATACAACGAAAGAAATTTTTTTTAAAAAAAATATAATGATGAACATACCCTATTATACTATCAGACGTAGGAATGGCCAGAGGAATGGTGATCCTCCATAAAGTATTTTGAGATGGATTAAATATTTCTAAATAACCTTCACTCCTGCCGTCCTTTATTATTGGTTTAAATTTGTGACATCGCTTTATTATCAATCTATCTATGAAAAAGTAAAATAGATTCTTACCCTTAACGGGATAATTGTCGCTAATTGTCCAGAGCGCCTCAAGAATAATGATGAATTTTTTAAATTCTTGTGAAAATTTCTACCATCATCTCCAGAACCTCTCATATATGAAAGAATTTTGACTTGAAATCGCGCATTCCCATTTTCATTAACAAAATCTTCGCGCTTGAAATCAGTGGCATTTATTAAAGCCTCGGGTAAATTCGAAATTATGGATACTGCAATAGAATCATTATTGTTCTGCAAGAATCGGGCGGACGATCTGACATGTTTAAAGAAGAATTTTGTGATCTATAAATTCATATGTCGGAAAAAAGACGTAATAACTGGCATTAAGTAAGTCATAAAATCATACACATTGGGCTGTGCAACCCCTTCTTGTGATATATATGTAATGTCCTCCGGAGTATTTTTGAACAATCCTTGAACATCGATTTTTTGGATAATGCTTGGAATTCTATGATTAGAAATTTATATGCGATAGTATGAACCTACAATTATATTGATAATTATGTGCTTAAAGTAGTTATTAACATATTACCTGATTTGAGTTCCACTTGGCTTCGCATAAACAATATAGTATTGAGCTTCAAAACAATCTCTGATAAGCCATACATCGGGTTTAAGTAAATATAGTTGAGCCACTAAAAATGAAAAAGAGCATTAAATTTGCATATAAAATAAATTAATAAAATTAGGAATAATATATTACACTTGATAGGAACTTCAATTGTATATTGGATATTCGTATTGAAATCAACCAGGACGATGAATGATCTTTCAATTTGGTAAAAAACTAGAAAATAAAGTTCAAGGTAAAAAGATAATCATTGTAAAGTACACATCCAATTTCCATCACTAAATTTTAAATTACCTAAAATTCCAAGCGATTCAAAGTCTTTTAACATTATTGATCTTGCTATACCCAATCCTGTCAACTTTACAGTAATTGACATAAGTATGGTGATAAGTCAGAGTACAAGCCAATATATATAAAATATATATACCGTTGAAGCAACAATTGTTTTCCTCTGAAAATCCACGGAGAGCAAAGAATTATCGGTAGGGTTGTGAAATATCAGGTACCACGATTCATCTAGAAGTTGAACTATGGACATCCTCAAGAAAGTTGATGCTTCAAAAATAATTACCGTAACGTTTATAAATTTTATCGTATTTTTTAAAATCAGGTATAGACTTATTAGATCACCCAATTACCTTTGTGAAACGGAAAATACTCATAAAGATCTATACTCAAAATCTTGTGATGTTCCTGGTCTATAGCATGTAATGTCACAGGACTTGATGTCACCACAAATAATGATCCATCGTCGAGACCTACAACATCTAAAGCTTCTCCAGGTGCGGGCACTCGAAAACTGTAAATTTGTTCCGTGAATGTCACAGTTCGACCTATAAATAATTGCTCATTTAATATCAATCATTTTTAAATTCAATATTATAGAAGGCTACCTTCTGCTCTATCAATTTCTTTAGGTTGACTTATTTGTAATTTCCATTCACCCTATAAAATTTTATTCAATTGATTCGAATTTTCATAGCTATACGGAAATCATTCATTCATCCCTTCACTTACCCTAGATGATACAGGATTCTCCTTCACCTCACATGTCTTACTTTCAAAATTAGATCTTGTCCATAATTCGCTTATTACTGGACCAGAAAGTGGTATCTTCTTTCCTAGCTTTACGGAAAATTCTGATTCTAATCCAATAGGAATTCCATGCTTCTGAAATACCTCTTTAAGCAGATCCTTAGAATCTTTGTCATACTTATCAAAGTCAAAAACATTTTGTAATATTCTAGACATTCCTTCCTTTGGATATTGCTATATCATTGAAAAATATCATAAATACACATGCATAAAATCATTTTTTAAAATTCATGACTAACCTGCATGTGCTTGACGACATTAACCAACTCTCTGGTAGAATAGGGATAAGAAATCAATCCTTCATCTACCATCTTTCTCAGATCACTGAATGCTTCGGTAAGTTTCAGCAATAGATCCTCAGATACATCTGGGGCATACTTTCTTAATAGAAACATTTCCGAATCTGAATCAGGATTATCAACTGCATGACTGGTTTATGGATCAATTATAATTTTATGTTAACTGGAGTATGCGGTTATACTGAATTGATGGGATACTCACCAGCTAAAAACGTCTCCAATCTCTCTATAAAAGTCGTTGCCTATTTTTTTTTTTTTAAAAATTAACTATAAAATACAATTGTTTGCAATTATTTGTCGAAGAAAAACTTACCATGAAATGGAAATCCTAATGTAAAATCGAGTAGAATAATTTATGTGTAAGCTTTATATTGGAAAATAATAGGAATCCATAAAATTGGTTCACGGTTTCTCACCGGGCCTATTTGCCAAGACTATGACCCTAAAATTTCTGTGTATTACTATACATTCTTCAGAATTCTTGGATGATGAAGAAACTATTCTTCTTCCATCACTCAATACCATTTGACCATCCTCAAGAAGATTCCTGAGCACTGCTGTAACATAGGTGGGCGCCTTGTCGGCTTCGTCCACAACTAATATGTATCCTTTAATTTTTCGTTAAATAAAATTAAAAGTTAATAAATAATAGTGAAATAAATATAAATTAATAAACAAGGTCTAATATCTAATTACCATTCTTTACCGCTTTGACTATATATGTACATTAGTTATTATTGACAAATCAATGTAGTTTATAACATATAATTTTTACTTAGTGAAAATTACCCAGGGGTGAGTCATCATATTGCAATATTCCATTGACAATTGTTGGTGTAGCAGTCAAACTATGTACTGTGGTGTCACTTCATTAAAGGAAAAAAAGTAAGACACAAAATAATTGTAATTGTGATAATCATTAACATGAGAAAGTCTAAGGCATACCGATGTAGTTGGATATATTCTCTAGGTAACTTTAATAATTGTAAGAAGTAATCTGCTAATTTATTTTTTCCAACTCCTTGATTTCCGATTAATAACAAATGCTCTCCTGAATTCAATAATAAGGTATTGATCAATAATTAACTGGAGTTAACAAATGAAATAAAGTATAAATATGAATATAAATATACCTAGTTGATAATCCTGCAACATTTGCATGAGAATCTCGGTTTGTTTGGGATTTTCATGAAAAACGACATCTGGGATTAAAAGCGGGTTTGAACCCGTTGTTATTGGCTGCTCCACGCCTCCAATACGAATTATTTTAGGATCATCGGATGAAGGAAGCGATTCAATTTTTAGCTATTGCAAACCAATTTTTGAAAGAAAGTTTAACCCGATTAAGTAATAACAGATTATGTTCTTATAATGAATTATCAAGCACCTGCTCTATATTAACGGGTTTAGATGGTGGTATAATCCCATTATTAATCATTAACTCTTCCAACGCAGATCTAACCAATGAAGGCAGAAATCGAGAAAGAGAAGCCTTATGAATTGCCTGATAAAGGCTCTCGTTCGGGAAAAGGGTAAGACGACGACATATTCGAATGAGTTGCCTGGAGTAAAATCGTGATATATTGTAGATTATTGAGGAGAAAAATAATTAGATGAAATTTATTTACTACCGTGTAGAAAGTGAATTTGATAATGAACGCATTGTTTCATCGGTTTCACTCCGAAGACGATTCGCAAAGTTCAATAGTAAGGAAAGTGCATCAGCATTCATTCCCGGAGATAATGTTTCAAGAACCTGTACTTCTTCCTAATAATTTGATGATGAGTGAATCAACTTGTACAAAAGTCTGCAATAATACAAAAATATTACCTGATGATCCAACGGGCGCACGACTACAAACTGAAACATTGACACAATCTCCGGAGAAAGCCATGATCCCGGTTTTCCCTCGCCACTATTCGAAGGCCTTCCCAATGCCACGATTCGAAAAGCAGGGTGTACAGGAAATATAAGTTTTTTTTTCAATGATTCGTTGTTAAACCCATGCTTCTCGATCAATTTCTTATATCTTTCTGGATGAATCAACTGTCTCCCATCAGGAAGCGAAACCTCACGTTCTTTTACCAATCTTTGTAATGTAACCAAGGTACCAAACGATAACATATCTATTCCATCCATGAGGGCTAGGTTGCCCGAAATTGCTGCTTTCACTAAAGACGAATTTTCCCAAATGGTATCACCTGAGAAGGTGGTGCCCCTACGTTGTAGAAGATCACGCGCTGACATATCTTTGTATAACGGAATGTATTCAATGTCATAACTGAAGAAGACAAAATAAATTAATAATACAGAAAAGGTTTTACATATAATAGAGAATAATTACCCAAGATTCTTAGCAAAATATCTTATCAAGGCACTTTTACCAACTCCCTTCTCACCAATAAGACAAAAATCACCACTAGAATGAGCCATAAGCATCGCATCAAAAATGGTTTGATGATATTTTGTCTTTACGAAGAATTCATCTGAAGAAAGTTTATCCGATCCTCCGAGAACATAAGTAACATGATCTTTGCGACCATCTGAAATCAATTTAAATTTTAATGTGACCTTGTATAGGGAAAGACCAGATATTGTTTTCTCCACGTCATTTGATGTTTGAATTTCCGTGGTTACGTATCCAGGCGAACTTTGCATAGAAATTTTGCCGTCCGTGCTTCCAGTTTCAGTTTCGTGACCAAGCATCCCAAAACGATGATAAGTTGCTTCTATAACACTTCTTTGTTCAGAATTACATGTAGAGAGCAGTGGCCACGGATAGATTAAATCCAACAAAAATCGAGGCTTAATGTCAGGAAAATTTTGTAATAACAGTATACTCGATTCAACTGATGCAGGAAATTCTGGTACTTCAACTCCACCATTGTTATCAAATTGCTGAGATCCAATTACAGTTGCAATGGAAACCAATCTTTCCAAGATTTCCGGATTAGCTCTTGGTGCCAATCTGCGCAAATGTTTAACCTGATCTTCAAATATTGGTTGCTTGACGTCTCTACATTGAAACCTTGACCTAAGAGGAGGATCCAACGGATGCCCAATATATGGAGGAATAGGTAATCCAAGAGCCATCACAATAAAACGTTCCGGTACCTTGACCAGTTTCCAATCATCCATCACACTTTTCTCAACTGTTTTACAGAGAGAATCGTAGCGTTTCGGATGAACCAAAAATCTACCATCCTCGAGAGCCATTTCTCTATTTTCTAATAAATTGTTTAATATTGGAAGTACATTTCTTTCGGCTTTTTCAATCCCATCTAAAATAAGCATTCTGCCTTCAATGGCAGCTCTTACACAAGATTGATCTAAATAAAATGCAGTTCCTTGATAAATTTCTCGACGTTGTTTAAGGTCCGAATCTGTGCAATCCTTAGACAACGGTACATATTCGATTTCTCGATTGGTCAATTGGGCGTATTTAAGAACAAGTCTCCTACGCAAATGACCAGGAGGCCTATCATGGAATGAAGTTAGACAACGCGAAACGAGTATAATCTATGTTAGCAGCACTCACCCTACAAGAAACATGTCTTGTCCTAGTTTCTCTTTTTGCATTATCCTAATTTATAGTTAAAAATTAGAAACTGCCCCATGAAATGTACGTGATAAAGTTGATGTACTAACCATCTTAAATGGTTTAGAATTTCCTGAAAAAACAGATATCGTTTGACGAAATGTGAAAGACTATAATATAAAGTTTTGTAGTAAATCTTTTATTCTCACTTGCGAATCTTCGTAAAACGGTTCAGAACAATCAGGGACCAATTCCGGGCACAGTGGATTCGTAATTCTTAATGAGACATCGCCAATTCGAACAGTAGCCACTGATTAATAAAAAAATAATAATAATTAAAATAAAATGTATGAATAAGAATTATCCAAACTCAATTATAAAATCATCGGTCACCTTTTATTTCAGGATTGACAGACTTATGAACTCCATGTTTCGTATTTTCGTTATCATCTTCACTGTTATACTCAATTCGTCTCAATAAATTCGTATGATGCTCGAGCCGCTGTTTAGTAACATCATTAGAATCTGTTTTCTCGGTAGAACTTTTAGATTTTGGCTTATATTTTTTTCCGTCCATCAAAAATTACTTCAGAGTATAACGAGAAGCCCGAAATAAGGGTGTATATTTATAATATTTAATTTACGTATATCATATTGGTAATACAGATTGCGAAATTAATTTTCACTTAGATCAATCTGATATTATCTTAGTCAGCTTTGGACGATCAGATTAAATCATTACTGATTCTAATGCAAGTCAACTAAAAAGAAAGGAAATGTTTTGCAATCATGAAGACTGTAATAAAAGCAACTCGTATAAGCTTGTCAATCGTTAGCAAAATTTTTGAAAGTTTGAGAATATGATTCATCATTTTTAAAGGCCATTTGGCCCTGATACATGAAATGACGGTGTTTATATCAATTATTTTCAAGTAATTCTTTAATTTCTTGTTTATAATTTATTACATACTGTATTTCACAATCATTTGGTGCAGTTCTTTTTAAAGTACTTTGCGGTATATGCCTTTGAGTAGAACCAGTATCTTAAATTATCCATTGCTAAGTAAATTTGGGGAAACAAGAGGATTTATCGTGTTAATAAAACAAAAAAGGACAAGAAAAAAGAAAATCACTGTTTGTCGGTTTTATCTGTTTATATCTTTTTTTATTTTGTTTGACTCGTCCAGATAAATCGCCTCGAGGTATTCCAGCTTGCTAATATTAACGCTATCAATACAAAAATTTTGTAGATAACAAAAATTAGAATTTGTTTTCTTTTTATAACCATTCAAGTATAAAAAACACAAAATTAATAAATTGAGATGATTCTTATAAAGGCGTAAATATGTAAATATATTTTCGAGTGAAAGGTGCTATACACATGGTTAATTAAAAATATTTTATTTTAAGTCTTGTTTTATTATCTCAAAATTTTTATAAAATTTTCATTGATTTTTATTATATCAAATAATTAATATACAGTCTATATATTGTATATATTATCATAATAAAATTATTACGTATTTATTTGTTATAAAAATTTTTTATAAAATATAAAAAATATTTAAAATAATTAATATTATATATGTGATAAAATAGAATTCAAATATTTTTTTAAAAACCATATAATAAAAGTATCAAGTAAAATATAATAAATAATTGAAAGTTATATTAAATTAAAAATTATATTATTGGCTAAAAATTTTTATAATAAAATTTTTTAAATAAATATTAATTGTACTATATGCATAGATTTTATCAATCATTATAGATTACATTTCCTATATATGAACAGTTTAATAGCTATTATTAATTTAATTAATGCAGTTGATTAATCAGATATACCAACTTATATCTTAAGGGTGGATTCATATATCAGTGAAAATTCAAAAATACAGTATAAAAATCTTATCACCAATTTTAAATTATTTAATTTTGATTTCTAAAAAATAGAGATAATAACATACTAGTTAAGTTTTACTTAAATTTCTTATTACATCATATCTTTAGCTTATACAGCAATGGTATCTATAATTTTATTTAATACTTTTTAATAAATGTTTCAAAAATTTTTTAATTAATACAGACTATTAAATTTAAAAATCAAATAATCAAATAGTATATACATTTTAAATTTTTTAATAAATATTTCAGAAATTTTAATTAATATAAACTATCAAATATAGAAGTATAAATATAAAGTAGAATACAACTCCTATTTAATTATAAACTTTATTTATATATTAGTATTTATATCAATAATTACCTTGAAAGTTATTTAACCTTAGTAAATATATTAAATAACAAAAGAAGATTTTCAATAGACATATATTTAATTAGATTAGAAACTTTTTCTTATATAATCTTTCTTTTTTATTTGTTTCAACTCATAATTATCAAAAAAATTAGAAGTTTTATTTTTATACAATTTAACTAAATAAGGATTAAATTTGAATGGTTAAGACTATATATATATAAACTAATAAACCTATATACAAGCTCTATTAATGTATTTTATCTTTTGTAAATATTAAACTAAAACCATATATTTGAAAATCCAAAAGTACTATTTATTGTACCATTGACTTATAAATCTAATATACTATATATATATATATATTTAAGTAGATAAACATCATAACTTTATTATAATTGTAAAATTAAAAAAATTTATATATGAAGAAAGTAACAATATCAGAAAATTTTTTAGCAAAGATTTTCGAAGATTTTTGAGCATAGATCTCTGAAGAATCTCTATTATCATTAAAAGACTTTGGAGTAAAAATTTATATATTAAACTCTAGAGATCTTTGATTTAATTTAATAATAATAAATTATATTTATATTTATATATTCAAATTTAATAATATTCAAATTCAAATTTATTGGTTTACAAAATTATTTTTATTATTATTTATTCTTGTTTATATTTATTTATTTAATTAAATCTTTACTTATTGCCAAAGTTCTTCTTTCTAATTCTCTATTTTTTAATGGTTGTCCCTGATTATTCTTATTATTTTCACATTTCTTCAGGTTATTTTCTATAGTAATAATTCATCGATTGATTATTTCTTCATCTTCGCTACTTGAATTTTCTTTTTCGAATCCAAGACCTTTTTGAATTCTCCTAAAATATTATTAGCAATAATTTATAAAACTTTGAAGATTTTTAAAAACTCACCTTATTTTTTTCTACT